CCCAGAGTCACCCGTGGGGGAGATGGGCGGCATACAAGCCAAATGAATGAATGAATGAATGAATGAATAAATAAATAAATAAAGGGCAGCCAAAATGTTGGAGACAGGAACAAGAGGAATCCCTGTTACCTTTGGGGGGATTCTGGTTCGGGGGATAAAAAGGTCAAGGTGGGATGGAGAAACCATATAAAAACACAGTATGTGGAGAAACCAGAAAGGGACCGTCTCTCTTCACTGGACCAGAACTTGGGTTCAGCCAGTACAGTATGGTGGGAAACTGAAGCCAGAGTTAAATTATGATACCAGTCACCACCACAAGACCTAGCAATGAGAATCAATTGGGAGAGTCTGCAACAGAGATTTGGGTAGGACTCTAATTGTAAGAAGTGTGAGATGCAACCTCTATGGCAGGGTTTCAAAAAAAAAAAAAAAGGATGCTCAGGAAGGATGAAATCCCACACTCCCTTCAGCCGCCCAAAGGGCTGTATCTGCTTTTTGTGACAGCTTAATTTTGGGGAACAGGGAGAGTTAAAATGCCTTGTTGGCCTTGCCTGGGTCTCCAACTGGCATCTCTGCATTTTTGCAAAGGACCACATGAGCCACTTCCAACCTTTTGATTGGAGCAGACACCCCTGCATCAAAATTACATCACTGGCATGGATTGAAAGACACATGGCTGAAACTCTATGTGAAAAGCAGAGCATTTTAAGAAAAGACCCATTTCAGCAACGGAGGTTCATGCAACTGGCATTCCTACTTCTCATTCAGATCTTTGTAATGGCTGCCAAGCAGACAATAGGCTGAAAAACACTGTTTTGGATTTGAACAGGTAACTGTTCTATTGTTTTTGGAAACTCAGATGCAGTCAGCAGACGGAAATATAATCAAGGGACCACGACCTTAAAACAACACAGCACCAAGTGGGAATTCCAATTTCTATCAGATCCACGTACAGTACCTAGAGTTGGGAAAATTGGGGTGGTTCCAAATTAGTTAATAAGTAAATAATAAATAAAATACAGAAGGACTAATGGGACTAAACAACTATAGAGCCTCCAATTACTATGTCTGCACCAGCAGTTTTTTAATGTGTTTTACCACTACCAAAAGTTCAAACTCAGTTCAAAAGTTCAGCTTTTTAACACTGCATTTCTATTTATACCAGCTTGAGAAAGATCACACTCAGTCCCCAAAAGACAACTCTTCCAGAAACATTAAGTAGAAATGGAATTCTTAAAATGGTTCTTTATTCATAAACTTGATGCAAGTTTACAGATTATTGTACACTGCTAAATACTTCTGAAATAAAAAAAAACACAATGAAACTCCCAATAAAATAAAATAGAGAAGCCAAGTGGGTGCACCTGTCATTTTGCTAGTCCATTGGAAATATTAAACAATTCAATTAATGTATCCAAAATATTAGCCTCAGGTTTTAAAGTGAGCTGTAGAAAACTCATAGAATTTGTCCTCTGATTTAAGACGGCTAACAGAATTCCATAGAAACAATATGTACAACCAAGTAAGCCAAAATCTTGGAAATCATCTGGAGAACATCCTCAAAAGATCATATGAAATAGAGTTCCACCAGGCACATGTCTTCAAATCTCTTCTTTCAAACTGAACCCCAGCATCTATCATCATTTACTTGGGTACCAAAGAAAGCACAGATGTAATCTTGCTGGTGACAATGGTGGGGCACAGGAGAACCGAGACATTTTTGGGCTTTAAAAGAAAAATGCCAATCCCTTTAATGCAATTCTGGTGAACGAAGAAAGTCAACACAAATTCATTTCTAAAAGAAACCACACACACAGACCTGATTTTTTTTAAAGGTAAGGCAATGATAAAGCAGTTACTGACCCACAGCAGTTACAAATCCAAATTCATTTCCTGAAAAAGGAAGAGCAGGTCCCCATTATTTTCTGAACAAAACTCACGGTCATAGCTATGGCAACATTTAAAAGGAACAACCGATCTGAATCAAGATCTTCCTGGGAATTCTGTGGCTTTTGTTTTAAAAAACTGGTCTTCTTAAAAAAAAAAATAAGGAGTGTCTTGATTTCTGCCAACTGCTTTTTAAGTTCATTAATCTACAAATGATTGCAACAACCCGTAAATAGAATTGAACTTGTAAAGAAGCTTTCTAGTATTTTAAATAACTTCAAGCTTTATACCTAGGGCTCCTTCTTGAGAAGAGCATTCTAGAGCCAAAAAATATCAGAACTGCCCAGCAAAAAATTGATGCCCTAGTGGATATGACCCGTTGCAAAGTTCTATTGGCACACCCTGGCTCTGCTTAAACAATGGATTTCTGCCCCCAAACAGTTCATAATCTCAAGACAGCCATGAAATAACACATTTTAATTATTTCACATTGCAGCTTTCTTCTATATCACTGTTAAACTTGGAAATTCTACAAACATTCTCAATTTTTAAGCCTGGAAAAAGAGAGATTGATTTAACAAGATCTGAAAACTCTACAACACGTTATTAAACTAACTTTATTCATCTTGGTTGGCTTTAAATAAAATATATTGCAGTTTTCTGCAGTCCATTCTAGAGAAAAAAACCCGAAGTGCATAGAAAAGTTGGTGGGAAAAAGCCGTTCCTATCATTTGATATTTTAGTAAACCAAGAACCCAGTTTGAGGGATTCAAACACTAAAATGTGGGAAAGTTGGTATGCTCAATCCACTGGGAAAATATAGGAAAGTTTTAAACTGTTCCATTCAAGATATTTGACTGATGAGCAGAACTCTGTATGGCTCTAATTTATACTGGATGTGTTGATCAACAGATTATCCACTAATTTCTTTATTAGCTGTTATGGGGCATTTATGGTCGAATCTGCATGGAAATAAAATCTTTTATTGACATTGGTCCAAATAGAAGTGTGGTCCCCAGTATTAACCATCTTCTTTTGGAGGTGTGAACCAGCCTGTAAGAAGAAAATAATTACACACTGACAAGTATGCAGGAACAATGGCAAAGCCCACTTTTAGACACTTTTATGCTTTCCAATCATTACATACAGTATCACTGAAGTCTAGGATGAATGCTGAGAGAGATGCCTTGGAAATCCACTGAAGGCCACTTGCTTACCACACTGCTGGGATTCTTACGCATAAAAATGCTGCAGATAGAAGTGTCTGTGCAAAAAATACCCATGTTTGTACATGGCTTATAGGGTTTGCGCAGCACGTGGGACAGAAATGTAGCCTTTTCTGCAGCTCCTTAACCCAACACCTGGCTTCCCGGGATCACAATGCAGCTGCCTGAAGAGTTGTGGACAGGGGCTCTGTGTGCCTCCCGTGAGGTCCAAAGGACCTTTTTCTCTTTGGATCCATCCAAGGTGCTGCAAGGCCCTCAGAATGTATTCCCATGTGGTAGGAAGCTCCAAATAAATGAAATTAATCAATCATTTAAATGGAAGCACACTGCTGTACTAACCCTCCCTTACACCAATGCTTCTCTGCAAGTCTGAAGCGTGAGAGAAGCTATAAGGAGGGCAGCATTAAAAGGAAAGTTTCTCCTCCTCTCATCAACACATCAGGACCAAACTAAGTGCATCCTTTATCTCCAGCTCCACGGATTCATCCACCCAATGGGTTTGAGGCAGAAAATCATTAATTATTGCCAACATTCCAAGGCTCAATTACTCAGTTCACAGATCCAGAATGAGGGCAAATGTACAGATACAGAAATGCACAAGAGATACACATGGGTATAGTAGCTTAAACCCCCCCCCTTCGATTGCTCTCTTCTGACATTATACTTACAAAACTATGTGTGTTACATACATACCATACATACCATTTTTCTCATGTAACTGTACTAGAGATTTATAAGACTGCTGTGCTCTTCCTAGATTATATTGGTTCTGGAAGAGAGACAATTGGTTTAAATGTTTTTTTTCCCCTTCTAAGGTTGACACAATCAGCTTGTGTGAAGAGGTTGAGACTGCTGGCAGCTCATATGCTTATAAAGAAATCTTCATGCTGTG